CCTTCGCTGCGTTGCGAAGTTTTGACTGAAATTATAATACCCTTTGCAAGGGTATAAAAACACATCACAATGACATAGGTCTGGTCAAACTGGATCAAAATGTTATTTTTTCAGGTAATGAAGGAATCTAATAACCATCAAATACTTTCCAAACTGAAATATTTTCTTTAGACCATATCAGGCCGATCTGTCTGCTCGTCAATCAGACTGCAGTAAGTAGTTTCACATCATTTGATGTCACAGGCTGGGGTAAAACTAAAACTAGTGAGACCAGCGAAAAACTTCAAAGAGCAACTTTAACCAAAATGGATAGTGCTTTATGCGGGCCAATGTTTTCAATGCTAATGAATGAATCCCAAATTTGTGCCGGCAGTTTGACCAGCGACACATGTAAAGGGGATTCTGGGGGTCCGTTGACTACACAGCTGGTCTATGGAAAAATTCAGCGGGTCTTACAATTCGGTATTACCAGCATGTCAAGCTGCCTTGGATTTGGTGTATACACAAATGTAACACACTACATAAACTGGATCGAAAATACTGTTGACGAAAATCCTCTTTAAATAAAATAAATATATCTTATTAATAAAATGTACCTGTAGCATAATTTTTTTTCAAATAGCGAGTCTTTCTTATTGCAGTGTTTACGTGTTCAAAAGTTTGTAACGCAGTGAAGGAGACGTTTCCCACCCCATAAAGTATATATATTCTTGATCAGGATCAATAGAGGAGTCGATATAGCCATGTCCGTCTGTCAGTTTGTTTTTAATACCGTTTGCGAGCTTTTAAAAGCTAGCGATCTGAAACCTTCAAAGTCGTCCTAAAACATGTGTACGCAGATCAAGTTTGAAAATCGCCCCGATCGGACGTCAATATCCTATAGCTCCCATAGGAACAATCGGATACACCTTGCAAGCATTGAAGATATTTCGCGCAATGTAAAAGCTATTTATGTATCTTTCCAAATCTTATTTTTATACCCTTGCAGAGGGTATTATAATTTTGGTCAAAAGTGTGCAACGCAGTGAAGGAGTATATATATTCTTGATCACGATCACCTCCTGAGTTGATATAGCCATGTCCGTCTGTCTGTCCGTCTGTCTGTTTCTAGGCAAACTAGTCTCTCAGTTTTAAAGCTATGGAATTGAAACTTTGCACACACCCTTCTTTCCTTTGCACGGAAACGGCCGGGATCGACCGACTATATCCAATAGCTGCCATATAACTGATTGATCGGGAGTGCCATAACTTTGGTGTTTGTAAAGTTAGAAAGTTGGGATTTTCTATGGGTTTTATATTTGGCCAATCAATCCGACCTACCAAACTTCATAAGGATCGGCCGACTATATCCTGCTGCCATATAACTGAACGATTGGAAATGCCATAACTTTGATGTTTTTAAAGTTAGGAAGTTGGGATTTTTTATGAGTATTAAGAATGCATCATATGAATAATTTTGGAGAATAATTTACAGAGTATTCTGCAAGGGTATATCAACTTCGGCTCCGCCCGAAGTTAGCTTTCCTTTCTTGTTTTTGTATAGAAAACACGTTATTTAGTGCACTCGTTTATGCATACAATTAGGGTAAACGCGCATGCCGATCAGACGTCTATATCCTATAGCTTCCACAGGAATATTGTGAAATCGGTCCAAATTTGATGTTTTTCAGGATATTTCGCGCAGTGTATAAACTATTGACATCAATTTTTTCAAGTCTTACTTATTTACGCAGATCAAGTTTGAAAAGCGCCCCGATCGGGGATATACCTTGCAAGAATTGAAGATATTTCGCGCAGTGTAAAAGCTATTTACATGCATTTTTCCATATCTTATTTTTTTATGCATACCTTGCCGATCGGACGCCTATATTTTATAGCTTCCATAGGAATAATGGTTAAAGGCTGTGAAAATATCCCTTTTTTCTATTTTTATATGTCTGCAAGGGTATTAAAACTTCGGCTTGCCGAAGTTAGCTTCCGTCCTCGTTTTTAATATTTTGATTCTTCTATGTGATATATGATATATGTAGATGTTCGATTTTAATTTAATTAAAACCGTAATTCTATAGTATTTAAATATTATCAAATCCCAAAGAACAAAAAAATGAAAAACTACAAAATTATACTTCTTTTAATTTTTTCCGATTGTTCCTTTCGACTTATATTGCTATTTAACATGTCTCGAAGTTTTTTTGAGTGCTGAAAATGTAGCCAAAGTACATTTAGCCAGACCCTAGCGGCATTATTTTGGTAATGCATGTGCCTATAAATATATCCATAAATAAATCATACTTTTTATTTGAGCTGGGAACCTTCTGTCTTTTTGTTTGGCACGTAGTTCGCCAATTTGGCGAGTGGCTGAAAAAAGGCTTTTGAATTTTTAATTGGAAAGGCATTCGTGCGTGCCTTCTTCGGAGCCCCTTGACCCTCCTTCCCCGCAATGTGTTGTAATAATAACAATTTTGTATCTCCGCCTATATCTCTTTTATTGGGCTTGTCTGCTGCTTATCATTTGACAGCCCCCGGCTGTGGATAGAACCCTTATCAAAGGCGAGAGACGTCACATTATATTGAGCTAAAATCAGTTACAACATGTGAGAAGGAGCGATAGAAATGCCAGAGCAAACACGGAGGGAAAATCTATTTAGAATTTCCCCATTTTCCTTGTCACATCTAAGGAAAGTGATGATGAGGGGATTCCCTGGAAATCGGGGGTGCAAGTTTAACTCCGCAAGGTTATTGCACAGAACAATGCCATCAATCAAACTTGGCTAATAATGTGAATATCTACGACCTCCGCCCCTACTTTACCTCCTTAAAACCTACAATCCACTGTGAAAATGTCAACTAATGACATTAATTGGCGCGGCTCTTGCCTTCAATGACATTTATTTAAATTGTTGACTCCTTAACTCAAGTTTAGATTCAATTTTGATTGGAATGTGATTCCAGAGCCCGGACTGGGATTCATTCTTGGACACTTGGTTTGAGTTCAGTAACCCAAAAATTGTAATTTAATATTATGCGTCCTTATTTGATAATTAGGGGAAGTCAAATTTAAAGAATATTCCACTTTAGGGGAATAAAAAACCCTCCAAGTGGTCCCAAAAGTTGCACAAAGAACTGTGAGGGCTTGCATCCAACTCATAAATATTAATTTTGTCTGCTCGCCCTTTCCAACAGTAAAATGACGCAGAAGGTACTTCCATATTTCCAAATTGTTATTTGATTTTGACATTTTTCTAATTTCATGCATTCTATATTTCTTAGATCGAACCACGAAAAATAATAAGTGTTTTCAAACCAGGGTTTTGCCGGCTCAATACCTTTATACCCTTGTAGAGGGTATTATAATTTCAGTCAAAAAATTGCTACGCAGTGAAGGAGTTATTTCCCACCCAATGAAGTATATATATTCTTGATCAGCATCACCAGGAGAGTCGATCTAGCCATGTCCGTCTTTCCGTTTCTACGCAAACTAGTCTCTCAGTTTTAAAGCTATCTGATTGAAAATTTGTCAAAAATTCTCTTTCTATTGCAGGTAGTTTATATGTCGGAACGAGCCGGATCGGACAACTATATCATATAGCTCCAATAGCAACAACCGGAAAAAAATTCCAAAAAATTATAAATTTGTTGTTTTAAATTTTTCTTTGTTCTTTTGGCTTTGGTAATATTAAAATATATTGGAATTACGATTTTAATTAAATTAAAATCGGACATCTATATCATAGAGCTCCCATTGAATAATAAACAAGAAAGGAAAGCTAACTTCGGGCGGAGCCGAAGTTAATATACCCTTGCAGAATACTCTGTAAATTATATTCTCCAAAATTATTCATATGATGCTTTCTTAATCCCCATAAAAAATCCCAACTTCCTAACTTTAAAAACACCAAAGTGGCATTTCCGATCGTTCAGTTATATGGCAGCTATAGGTTATAGTCGGCCGATCCGGCTCGTTCCGACTTATATACTACCTGCAGTAGAAAGACAACTTTTGGGAAAGTTTCAAGCGATAGCTTTAAAACTGAGGGACTAGTTTGCGTAGAAACGAGCGGACGGACAGACGGACGGACAGACGGACGGACAGACGGACATGGCTAGATCGACTCTCCTGCTGATCAAGAATATATATACTTTGTAGGGTCGGAAATGTCTCCTTCACTGCGTTGCAAACTTTTGACTGAAATTATAATACCCTCTGCAAGGGTATAAAAACAAGAAAGGAAAGCTAACTTCGGGCGGACCCGAAGTTGATATACTCTTGCAGAATACTCTGTAAATTATATTCTCTAAAATAATTTATATGATGCATTCTTAATACTCATAAAAAATCCAAACTTCAGTTAAATGGCACCTATAGGATATAGTCGGCCGATCCGTATGAAATTTGATAGGTCTGATTGATTGGCCAAAAATAAAACCCATAGAAAATCCCAACTTCCTAACTTAACAAAGACAGACGGACAGACGGACATGGCTATGTCAACTCAGGAGGTGATCCTGATCGAGAATATATATACTTTATAGGGTCGGAGATGTCTTCTTGACTGCGTTGCAAACTTTTGACCAAAATTATAATACCCTCTGCAAGGGTATACAAATGAGTTAGCCTTAAAGTAAATAAATTCACTCGTTCAAATTTTCTCATTTAAAATTTCTTATTCTTATTTTAAAGGTTTATTTCATTAGTGTTTATCATTTCTCGACACAACATTTTTGCCTAGTTATCTCTTCTTAAACCGTTTTGAACTTTTCGTAAACCTTGCTGTTCTTTTGCATAATATGTTGACTTCATTTAATTTTGCTTAAATTAATAGTAGTTTTAATTTGTATTTTTGTTTTGTTAGAATTATTTAATAAAGTTCTTAATATCCTGATCACACTTATATCCAATTTAAGAAAGAATCTTTGCGTTTTTAATATTAGAAGACAAAACAGGCCAAGTTTGCACAATTTAATTCTTTTAGTTCGAGTGGTTTTAATAAAACAATAAATTTTGTTTGTAAATTGTTATTTATGGATATTGTTATTCGCTCTTTATTTGGTATTTCAACAATAAATACCACAATGGAACTAAATTAAAATATTCAGAATCGGAGGATACATTTTGTTTTAAATATCTGTTGAACAATTCACGAAATTTAGGAAAATTAGTAAAACCTTTGAACGAAACAGAAACTAATAAACAAACATTTTTATTTGCAACAGTTACACATTGCTTATAATATTTTTCACATAGTCGGTTAAATTCTTAATCTCTGGTAAAAAAAAAAATGGTATTTTGGTTTACAGATACCCGAGGCCCATCTACGAGAAGCACTGGCAGGTTTTCTTTTTGCACTGCCCGATCCAGTGACCTTGGTGCTTGCAGTAGCTGTGGCACTGGGGGTAGTGTGGGTGGTAGCGCGAGGTGTCCTCGCACAGAGCAGGATCCGTCTGGATGTGCCGCACCTTGATGGAAACGGTGCCCAGGGTCTTCTCGGAGGCCTCGTCGAAGTCGGTGTCGAGGTCGTTGGAGTCGGGGGCGGGCACGTCCACCTCGACCGGGATCCCGTGGCCTTGGCCGAGGAGCAGAGCGGCGGTGAGGATCAGGCAGACCACCAGGGGCAGCTTCATTGCGCACATCTTGCAGGCTGACAAGCAACTGAGAGCGCCCTACCATTCCCATTCGCGTTTACAATTCCCAGACCGATTTCGATTTGAATTCCCACTGCCATGCTGCCTTATCAGTTCCAGTTCCAGCTCAAGGTCATTGAGTTCAGCTCTCGCCCGTTTTAATCGCTGAAACTGGAAACACTGCCGACATGCCCGGTTGCGATTGCGCCCCAGTGTTGCTTTCAGATTCAGATTGGGTCCGAATTTAGAAATGTTTGAACAGTATCTATTTAAAAACGAGAACGGAAGCTGTAGAAAAATGTAAAAGTCAAATTAAAAAATATATATTAAAAGCTTTTACATACTACACACTACAAAAGTCATGCTTAATAGTACAAATTTGTCAAAAAGTTGATTTTGATTCAATAACAAGAATTAACGCTTAAGTAAAGCGACAAAGTTACTCTTTGCAAAATACGTACATAGGCAGGTACATTTATTTCATATTTCAATATTGAACATTTAAGGTTTCCATATAACAAAAATTATTAAACATTAAATTTGTGCCATAGATTTTTGTTAAAGTGTATGTAAAGAACGAAAATTTCTTCATCGCCCTGCCATTTTGGTCCCAAAATTACAAATGTTGAGTTAACAATTTATGCGTAAATTTGATTTTTATGTTCTTCGGTCTGCCATTTCCTTGGCGCGCCTTCTCCTCAGAAGTTAGTAAAATTGATGGGCGACGGACAAGCAGTTAAAGCCACATAAAAATTCCAGTTCCTGGGTATTTTGGCCCACCCGCAAGCATACATGCGAAGGTCTCATTCGAGTCTCATTTGTTTTAAAATGCAAAAACCGTAAAAATAATCATGATAATATTACACAATAATAATAATAATAATAATTACAGAGCTCAAATGTAATACACAGGGAACAGCTGCCAAGAAGTAACCCCTCTACACTTTTCCCTTTTCGACAGCCTTTTCGCACATTCCCTTCGGAAAAGTCAATAAAAACGAGAACGGATGTTAACTTCCGGAATCCGAAGCTTATATACCCTTGCATGTAAGTAGTGTAGTCAAATTGGACCCATTGGTTCAACGCCAGCCTTGGAAAATAATCGTCCAATTTGTAAAATGAGATATGGTTGTTGGCTGGTTTAGGAAGTATGGACATAAGTAGAGACTGCAAGGCTATATACAATATATATATGATGGAGATAATGTTTTCCTCGTTTATTTTGTATTTTTCAACCTATTATTATTATTTAAGTCCTACGTCAAGCAAAAGTTAAAAAGAATCGAAAAGCTAATTTGCGAAGCGGCGTAAATCGCATAAAGTACACTAGACTGAATAACAAAACATCGGAAACTTTTCTTTAAGCGCTTAAATTTCATTGCTGCAAATGAAGCGCAATAAGTAGAGCAACAACAACAGGAAAAGAGGAAGCCAAGAGGTGGCTTCTTTTGGGTGGCTATGAGGTTTAAGCGAATCAAAGAAAACAGGTGGAAAAATACGGAGAAGAAAGCATTTCTGTTGTGCTTAACTTGTTGATGGCCGGGAGAAACATTTTGTCAGTGGCAAAAGTTTCAATTCGTTCCCTATTTTTCCTTTTAATTAAAAAAGTTTCCTCCTTCTCCCTTGATATTGTTGTGGTTGGTTAGCGCTTAGAAACGCAACTTCTTCGATGGAATCAAATACGCACTTTTGTTTCAGTCATAAGAGATGTATTCCCACAGCGGGACTTCAATTAATTCTAATATGATTAAATGTCCCGAAAAAATACTGTCTGCTAAAAGTGATTTATCACATCAGAATAATCATTTTTCAATAAATCCAAATGTGTTGTTAAGTTTTTCAGGGTATGCAAACGGATGTCCTCAAGCTACAGAAACGAATATTTGAGTTGGGACGTGTTTGGGCTAAGCCATATTGAAACGCTTGTCAACTAATTGGGTTACACTTGAAGCTACACAACGATTATGGCATCTGGTGGGCATGCCCATAGCACCAAGGACATCCTCTCCATTTCCTGTCGCTTGTTATTGAACACACACGTACATGCATTGTGGGATTCGAATTCGGTCGCATTTGGAAGACGTCGTCAAAGAACTACATGAGTTGACAATTAATTTGTCTCCTCGACATGAGAATGAACACAAGCCCACTAGTACTCATTCGTAATACCATCAAAAACCAGTGTGCCAGATTCGACAACTTTTTGGAGGGATCAAAGCTCATCAAATTTATTTAATATATTTATAATATTACATTTTATTGTGGTATTAAATCCAAATATGCCTCGAACGGTTTTTCTGTGATCCATTCGATCAATCCGATACTAACCTCCAAAAGTTGGTAGCAAGCTTTTAATGGGGGTTAAAACATCGAGACTGTGCTAATTAAAACCAACCGTTCGATGAATAAACTTTGCGATTTGGATGTGATGCCCTATAAACGAATATTAAGCCGATAGTTGATACCATTTCATGTGAAGTATAACTTACTTACGACTCATAATTGCTCGGGCAGAGCAAGTGTATGGGGTATTGTTAAGTTCTGTGGAAACGACCGCTTGATTTGTGAACGGAGAACACAAATCAAAAGCGCTGGCTGTTTGTAATCTGGCTCACGTTTCGTGTAATTAAAACTTAAGGAAGAGCCGCTGGATGAGGGGACCGGGATCGGGGCACAACTGCACCGCGGTGTCGGCTGACTGTGGCAGACAAATCAAAAAGTTGCCCAAGATTTCCTCGTGGCTGCCACTCTTCTTTTTTCCTGTAATTTTTAATTTCCTTTCGCCGAGGCTTAACCCGCAATGGAAAGTTTTCAGCCCAAGCATTGCCGCACATAAATCAGTTAGTACGAAGCCACCTGATGGTAGTGGGAATACGCCAACTGGCGGGCAGTCCTACTGACGGACAGGCGGACAGGCGGACGGATGAACCAGGCAAAGTTCCTAGATTAATTTGAATAGTTCTGGGATTCAATTTGTTAACCACCAACGGACACGGACGCTCTGCATAGCCGACATGCTCTGACTGCTGCAAGAATCAGGGTCCGAGCACCAATCACTTCTCCGAATCGGAGACTCTGAAAACCCACTAAACAGAGGGATTTCTCAATCCCGATCGAGTCATTTCCGATTGATTCAGGGATCCGTAAGCGATTAATGAATCAGAGGTGGTTTTGAGCCACTAATTTCCCCATTAAATTCACTCACGATCAAAAGCTATGGCTATGACCTTTACTAGACTTTTTAAAAGGCAGTTTTCCCTATTGATTTACATTATTTTCCTCAAAACGCCAAAAAACCATTTCTAAAATGGTTCCAAAATTTTACCAATTATACTCCTTTGAAAGCTATTAAAATTACAAATCACAACATATCCAACATTTGATTTGATTTTTATTTGTATTTACCTTTAAAATCAAAGCATTCTTCGTGAAAGTACGATGCGTTTTAAATAGTAATTTTGAATAAATCCTAGTGCTTTATAAAATTGTTGGTTTGGTATTGATATCTTTTATATAAATAAATAGAGAAAAGTCATTTTTGTATATGCATATGCTTATTTTGAAGTAGGTCTGACTATAATTTCCTCGTTTCATTATCAGAAATTAAAAGAATACAGTTTTTAAAATCCCATAAAGAAACTCACAAAGCATCTTGAATCAACCGACCATGCCGATGAAGGATTCACCTCGGCCTTCTTCTGGACATTCGCATCCGCATCCGCATCCACATTCGCATCGGCAACGGCCTGCTAGGCTTACATGTGCTCCTTGTGTGTGGTCTGTGATTAAAATGATATTTTCAGACAATGTCAAACAGCGTGTTACTAATGGGTCTATGGGTTGTCCGAAATGTCTGTTATTACTTGATAAATCTTGTCGGTCACACATTTTGGCAGGGCACAATGGCCAACACACATATACACAAACGCACACCTACACATTAACGAATGAGGGGCAGCCGTGACCGTTTGTTTTATGCAAATCCTTGGTCCTGCTCGTCTGCAGTCAGCTCTAATGACAAATGGGTCAAAAATTTGCGGCTAATGACACAAATATGCTGGTTTCAGCCTATAAATTGTATGCATAAATAAAGCGAAGGGCGAACACCGAAAAAAGGGGCGACTTCTTATGATTGAAGACTTGCGACCGAGGACCTCGTGTGTGTCCTCGGCCATTAATCAATGGACAAATAAACATAAAATTTACGTAAATTGACATTTGGCCATCACCGCCGATTTGCATTCTGCTGTCCACACCGCCCTCAAATAAAAAAGGTGGAATAAAAGGGGTATTGGGGAATTGATATATGTTCTTACATTTAAAAGTGTTAAGGCTGGCCATTTCTGTACGATAATTAGAATGTCAATAAGGAAAATAACTATGGGTAGTTTCTGTATAACTCATTTTAAAAGCATTTCTCTTGTCCAAATATACCAGCAGATTAATTTCTTCAGATAGTTTTTGGAATTGGCAACAATAATAAATCCTAATGGTTTTTCTAGATTTAGTGGTTCAATCGGTTATATAAAAATTATTCCATTGAGTTGTAAGTGCACCTCGGTATATTCTAGTACAGAAAATGTTATTTGGAGTCTGATAAACCTGCGAGGCAAATTAAGTAATAAAATGGGATATGATTATCTCGAAAGATGCGCGCGGAAAATATACTGAACCATATTTTCGCTATTTTTGGGAAGTCCAAGATGTCCAGGATGATGAGTTTTTATCTTGCCAAAAGAGAGGGGGTTTTCATTAGGATTCATTTTCATTACACGCACTAAGTCCGTCGGCCACTTCACCTTTACAGCCGATTCCGCTTATGCTGACGACAAATGGGCGGCGGGCATAAATTCCAAATGGCTTTTATTTTATGGCTGCCGCTGTCGAAGCAAAAGCAACAGTTTATGCCTAGACGAAGTCCCTGGAGCCGAGAAAGGGAATATTTTAGAATTTTTGATTAACTCGCCGCACCTGAATCACCGCAAATGCCCCAAGCCCGGTGCCGTAACTCCTTTGATTCCACTTTGCCGGGTAATTAAGAAACTTCAACTCGCAGGATCGGGGGTGCGAAAGAATTGTCAATGCCAAAGTTCGAGCGAATCTTTGGCCGAGTTCCATACAGTCAGGCACTCTGTGAGCTCTGCCTTTGGCAAACCCATTTATATACAGATTTGAACCCGAAAAAACCCGAGAAGTTGCTTCACATATCACATGCTAATGCCCTTGATGTCCTGCAAAGGACGTAAGATTATCAAGGCAAAGCCGCAAAAAACTTGCCCGAACAAACCCCTGCCATGTCCCTAATCTGAGCAGTCAAAGTAGCGGAAGAGCGCTGTGACATCGGAAAAAAATGCTAAACAAAACAGAAAGGCAAGCAAAACAATGTGACTATATTGGGGTGTATCTGTGTGGGCCCAAACTTTGATTGTTGTTCGAGCTGTAAGCGTATTTGAGTATTTGAATTTCCTGGCCGCCCCTTCCGTTGACTTCTTCTGGCCAGAAACTATCCAGCCAGGCGCAAAGTGGGCTTGGCCCTGCCGGTGAAGAGGACAGTGTAATGAAGACAAATAAAGGCAATTCATGATGCGCCATGACTCCGTGGCTCGCCTCCCCTCCCGCTCCACCTCCCCGCACTTTCCTCTTCCCGCACCTGATATCACGGCTCCTGCATATTTGCTTAGGCCCCCATTCGGAATCAGTGTGCTCGGTTCTGGTCAGCGGATGTGTGCACTCGAACAGATATTTGTATTTATACTTGGGCAGCTTGAGCAGCTTGAGCAATGGTTCTCGATGAACAAGAGGAGCTTGTTATTTTGCAAATTATGTATTATTCATACCCTCAGATAAAAATTACACAAGTGTGCCATTTGTATTATCTGTCAACGCTATGCTATATTACTATATTACTATACTATAAGAAGAGCTTCAAAAAAGTTTCCTAATACAGATTAAATAAAGAGGGTTTTATAGGATATACTATAGCTAGGCTCAGGAAGTTAGGGCGCCCATCACCAATTTTCTTTTTATACCCTTGCAGAGGGTATTATAATTTTGGTCAAAAGTGTGCAACGCAGTGAAGGAGACATCTCCGACCCTATAAAGTATATATATTCTTGATCAGGATCACCTCCTGAGTTGATATAGCCATGTCCGTCTGTCCGTCTGTCCGTCTGTCCGTCTGTCTGTCCGTCTGTCTGTTTCTACGCGAACTAGTCTCTCAGTTTTAAAGATATCGAATTGAAACTTTGCACACACCCTTCTTTCCTTTGCACGCAGTATATAAGTCGGAACGGCCGGGATCGGCCGGCTATATCCTATTGCTGCCATATAACTGATTGATCGGAAATGCCATAACTTTGGTGTTTGTCAAGTTAGGAAGTTGGGATTTTCTATGGGTTTTATATTTGGCCACTCAATCCGACATACCAAATTTCATAAGGATCGGCCGACTATATCCTATAGCTGCCATATAACTGATTGATCGGAAATGCCATAACTTTGGTGTTTGTAAAGTTAGGAAGTTGGGATTTTCTATGGGTGTTATATTTGGCCAGCCAATCCGACCTACCAAATTTCATAAGGATCGGCCGACTATATCCTATAGCTGCCATATAACTGAACGATTGGAAATGCCATAACTTTGGTATTTTTAAAGTTAGGAAGTTGGGATTTTTTATGAGTATTAAGAATTCATCATATGAATAATTTTGGAGAATATAATTTACAGAGTATTCTGCAAGGGTATATCAACTTCGGCTCCGCCCGAAGTTAGCTTTCCTTTCTTGTTTTTTTTATTTTTTTATTTTGTCAAATTAAAACTAGTATACAATACTAAAATTAATGGAAAGAGAAATGGCACTGGAAACTGAAGTCCTTCGGCCGGGTTATTAGAGTTTAATTATTATGTCTATATTCGGAGATGGGTTTTATTAACAAAAACTTTAATTCTTTTAATATTTGATTTGGAGGAGGATCCAAAAATGGAAGTGCGTATGGGCTTTAGGGCCTGACAGTTGTCGAGAAGATGGTCGGTTGAAAAAGTCCTGTCTCCGCAGAAGCGGCAGGGAGGGCAAGCAGATCCTTGAAGAAGGTGTTCGTGCGTTTCCTGTGTATGTCCAATGCGAAAGCGGGTGTAAATCCTGCGATCGAGTTTGTTGAGGTCTTTTGGAAATATAGTTTTTTCACAGGCTGTGTTTAGCGCTTTATATCTGTGGGTAAAACCTTCCCAATCAGCAATTATCTTTTGTTTGTTGGTGGTTTTAATTAGCTTGGAGATGTCTCTGGCATTGATGGGTGTGAACTGAACGGTTGGGGCTGTGCTCATAAATCGAGCTGTGGCTGGGGACCCAAACGATGGTTATTTTGGATTTGCTCAGGGTAACGATGTTCCGTATTTGGCCCAATTTTCTAAAAGGGCATATTTATACACTTGCAGAAGGTATTATAATTTCAGTCAAAAGTTTGCAACGCAGTGAAGGAGATATTTCCGACCCTATAAAGTAAATATATTCTTGATCAGCATTACCAGGAGAGTCGATCTAGCCATGTCCGTCTGTCTTTTTCTATGCAAACCAGTCCCTTAGTTTTAAAGCTATCTCACTGGGGAGTGAACCCGACTATGATAGGACTAGCTAGTTTCGTCAAAATGTCACCTCAGACTCACCAGATATCTACGGGGATGGAAGCACAGCGTCAGAAACTCCTCAATGTTACGATCAGAGAAGCTTTTTTGCAATTGTGAGTTGCCAAACTTCATTGGTTTAGGTGGAGTTCTGCCGTTAATTTGTAGTAAAAACAAGAGAGAACGCTATAGTCGGGTGCCCCGACTATCAGATACCCGTTACTCAGGTAAAGGGAGTGCGAGGGAGATGGAGATAGAAACTTTGATCACGCATAACTTTTTAACGAATGGTCCGATTTGAAAAATTTCTTCTACATTTCGATAGGTATTGATAAACACAATAAAACTGCATTTTTACTTTTCCGAAATATATATTATATCGTATATAAGCGATTGTGGGCGTTAAAGGGGTGTGGCACCTTTTTGAAACAAACTTGCGCTGCGTAGGAACTCCTAGAATCTGCATGCAAAATGCCAATCTTCTAGCTTTTATAGTTTCCGAGATCTCAGCGTTCATACGGACGGACAGACAGACGGACATGGCTATATCGACTCGGCTAGTGACCCTGATCAAGAATATATATACTTTATAGGGTCGGAAACGCTTCCTTCTAGCTGTTACATACTTTTGCACGAATACAATATACCCTTTTACTCTACGAGTAATGGGTATAAAAACACCATACTATTATTTATTAACAATAAAAACACTCAAAGACTGCAATAAGATGGACTCACTGATGTCAATCACAAACTTTATAGGCTTTTTGAAAAAAACGTAAGATACAAGTTCATTTTATTTATTATGAAAAACGAATCACAAAATCTTCGTTGACAGTATTTTGGATCCAGTTTATATAGTGTGTTACATTTGTGTACACACCAACTCCACGGCATCTTTCCATTCCAAAGCTGGTAATACCGAACTGAAAGACCCGATGAATTTTTCCATAGACCAGCTGTGCAGTCAACGGACCCCCCGTATCCCCGATACATGTGTTGCTGGTCCAACTGCCGGCACAAATTTCGGATTCACTCATTCTTATTCCAAATATTGGCCCGCATATAGCATTGTCCAAATTGTGTAAAGTTGCGGTTTGAAGTTTTTTGCTGATCTCACTAGTTTTAGTTTTACCCCAGCCTGTGACATTAAATGATGTAAAAGTTCTTACTACACTCTGATTGACGAGCAGACAAATCGGCCTGATATGGTCTAAAGAAAATATTTCAGTTTAGAAAGTATTTAATGGTTAGTAGATTCCTTCATTACCTGAAAAAATAACATTTTGAGCCAGTTTGACCAGACCTATGTCATTCTGAAATATGCCATACGATGGGTGGGGAATCAACCGTTCGATATCAATCTCAAAGCTGGGTGGCTCACAACCCATCGATGAACAATCTGGGTTGGTTGACATGTCGTATTCGCCTAGGCGCACCTTACTGTAAAGAGCAAGAATTTAATTTCAATTAAAACAAGAAAGAAAAGCTAACTTCGGGCGGAGCCGAAGTTGATATACCCTTGCAGAATATTCTGTAAATTATATTCTCCAAAATTATTTAAATGATGCATTCTTAATACTCATAAAAAATCCCAACTTCCTAACTTTAAAAACACCAAAGTTATGTAATTTCCAATCGTTCAGTTATATGGCAGCTATAGGATATAGTCGGCCGATCCTTATGAAATTTGGCAGGTCGGATTGACTGCCCAAAAATAAAACCCATAGATAATCCCAACTTCCTAACTTTACAAACACCAAAGTTATGGCATTTCCGATCAATCAGTTATATGGCAGCTATAGGATATAGTCGCCCGATCCTTATGAAATTTGGTAAGTCAGACTGATTAGCCAAAAATAAAACCCATAGAACTTCCTAACTTGCTAACTTGAAAAACACCAAAGTTATGGCATTTCCGATCGTTCAGTTATATGGCAGCTATATGATATAGTGGCCCGATCCGGCTCGTTCCGACTTATATACTACCTGCAATAGAAAGACAACTTTTGAGAAAGTTTCAAGCAGATAGCTTTAAAACTGAGGGACTAGTTTGCGTAGAAACGGACGGACGGACAGACGGACAGACGGACAGACGGACAGACGGACGGACAGACGGACGGACAGACGGACATGGCTTGATCGACTCTCCTGGTGATGCTGATCAAGAATATATATACTTTATAGGTTCGGAAATGTCTCCTTCACTGCGTTGCAAACTTTTGACTGAAATTATACTACCCTCTGCAAGGGTATAAAAATACATCTCATGCCACATACTTAATCGAAGTTGCGAAGCAACTCGCTGCCGACAGAACAAAACCTGCAATAGATTATTAAAGTTCATAACTAAGTTATACTGAAAAGATGGTGCTCATTTAAAGCACATTGCTAAACAAAAAAAAAGCTTACAAAGGGGTTAATATTTTTTAAAAACTTACGGGAGGTGATGAGCGTACCGACACAGTTTAATTGAAGGTCTTTGAAGAGCACTACCATCCAAGGATTGGCGTACATTTCAGCATCTTGTCCTCCAACCACCCGTTTCACCCTGTACAAGGTCCTTGTTGTTCCGCATTGGGGTTCCAGCAAATAGGCGGATCCTTCCTTACAAAGGAACAGACAGGCTAATGTCGCAACTCCTAGTATAAAGCCTTTCATACTTTATAGAATTATTTTCGAAGACTGAATAAATGCTTTTGGCGCGGTCTATTTATATAGGACTGTTGTCGCATAAAAATAGCGATAAGAGGGCTGGGTTTTTATACCCTTGCAGAGGGTATTATAATTTCAGTCAAAAGTTTGCAACGCAGTGAAGGAGACATATATGACCCTATAAAGTATATATATTCTTGATCAGCATCACCAGGAGAGTCGATCTAGCGATGTCCGTCTGTCCGTCTGTCCGTCTGTCCGTCCGTTTCTACGCAAACTAGTCCGTCAGTTTTAAAGCTATCTGTTTGAAACTTTCTCTAAAGTTGTCTTTCTATAGCGGATAGTATATAAGTCGGAACGAGCTGTATCGGGCGTCTATATCATATAGCTGCCATATAACTGAACGATCGGAAATGCCATAACTTTGATGTTTTTTAAGTTAGGAAGTTGGGATTTTCTATGGGTTTTATTTTTGGCCAATCAATCCGACCTACCAAATTTCATAAGGATCGGCCGTCTATATCCTATAGCTTCCATATAACTGAACCATCGGATATGGCATAACTGTGGTGTTTGTAAAGTAAGGAAGTTGGGATTTTCTATGGGTGTTATATTTGGCCAGCCAATCCGACCTACCAAATTTCATAAGGATCGGCCGACTATATCCTATAGCTGCCATATAACTGATTAATCGGAAATGCCATAACTCTGCTGTTTGTTAAGTTAGGAAGTTGGGATTTTCTATAGGTTTTATTTTTGAACAATCAATCCTACTTACCAAATTTTATAAGGATCGGCCGACTACAGGTGCCAACTGATTGATAGGAAATGCCATAACTTTGGTGTTTGTAAAGTAAGGAAGTTGGGATTTTTTATGAGTGTTAAGAATGAATCATATGAATAATTTTGGAGAATATAATTAACAGAATATTCTGCAAGGGTATATCAACTTCGGCTCCGCCCGAAGTTAGCTTTTCTTTCTTGTTTTTAATTCTAAATGTAAATGCTTCTGAAATTGTATTGCAATATTATATATATATATAACCGTTTTTTGTCGGATAATTTGATGGTTTTGCGTAAATTCGTATCTATTTCCAGAGTTTAATATAGTTAGAATGCCTGTTTTATGTCGATTCTAATTGATATTTTTATTGATTTAAAAACACAATCACTATTTTCAGTCACTATTTTATTTTTAAAATAAGAAAAAAATTGTTTGGGGGAAGACAACAATCAGTTTATGTACGTGTCGTGTTTATTAATTAATTCGGGTTTTACAATGTAGTTGCTGAATAGGTAGCCCGACAGCTTAGCGAGATAAGGAAAATAATATGCGCACTAGACTAGGTTCTGGCGGGCTGCTCCGAACAGTAACATTTCTTTCTATCTTCCCGACGATCCCGCCGAGAGTCATCTTTTATCGAATGTAAAAATGTTTAACGATGATGATCAATTTTAATATTTCATATTGTTCATTACCTTTTAGATCAAATGTTTTTAATGCTTTTGTTTTCATGCGCCATTCGATCTCTCTTTATTCTTCAAGTCATATGAATCATAACTCATCCATTCACTAAGTAGTATACACTTGATTTATACCAAATGGTTCAGCTCAGATTAGCTTATACGACCAAGAGGGAAAGGTCAATCCGTCCGTCCGAGTGTCCGTCCGTCCGTCTATCCGTCAATCCGCCCGTTTCTACGCAAGCTAGCCCCTCAGTTTTTTAAGCTATCTAAGTCGGAACAAGCCGGATCTGGCGATTCATGCTTCCATAGGAGCAATAGGAAAAAATATTTATAACTTTGCTTTTAATTTTTTTTTCGTTCTTTGCGATTTGGTAATATTTAAACACTATGGTATTACGGTTTTAATTAAATTAAAATGTGACATCTGTATCATATAAAATCACAAAATTAAAAAAAATAAAAAATGAAAGTGTATATTTATAAAGAAAAGTATATACTTGTTTTGGTTTTTTCGACATAAACTCTATTTGACCTGTGACTTTTCAGCTATTTTCAAGAATGTTATCGCCGTGGACGGAATCTCATGCACGGAGGATATTATTGGATAACAGACTGCATACCAAGACTTTTAGATAATAAAATACCTTTGGTGAAATAAAGATGAAAGAGTTAAAGTACAAATTTAGAAAATTTGTTGTTTATCCTAGTCGGAAATGTCTCCTTCACTGCGTTGCACACTTTTGACCAAAATTATAATACCCTCTGCAAGGGTATAAAAAGAAATTAGTTGATTATGTAATTTTCTCTGGGTGACATTGATGTCATTTTATTATTTCAAATTTAAGGTTTCCGTTATCCAACGCGCGTAATATGTAATATTTGTATGAATGGCCACACCGTTCTTCCTAAAGCTCATAATGCCGTGGAGAAAGAACTTATCGCCCGACGACGTATATTCGTTGATACCAAATACGTCACCTGACTTAAAAATGGCGGAGGATTCGTTCACACAGATTTGATCTTCATATATGAGATGTCCAATGGCAATAGAGCAATGGTAACGATCAACAAGAACGGGAAACTAACTTCGGGCGGAGCCGAAGTTGATATACCCTTGCAGAATATTCTGTAAATTATATTCTCCAAAATTATTCATATGATGCATTCTTACTACTCATACAAAATTACAACTTCCTAGCTTTAAAAACACCAAAGTTATGGCATTTCCAATAGTTCAGTTATATGGCAGCTATAGGATATAGTCGGCCGATCCTTATGAAATTTGGTAGGTCAGATTGATTGGTCAAAAATAAAACCCATAGAAAATCCCAAATTCCTTTACAGAATATTCGGCTCCGCCCGAAGTTAGCTTTCCTTTCATGTTTGTGATAAAAATGTGTTCAATTAGTGTGAAAAAACAGGCCATGCCCTTTATGTCAAAAATTTTGTATGCTTTCCATGGCATTTGTATTATTTTCTCAGTTTTATTTTTGCACTCAATCTGTTTACACGTATTTTCGAAATAATTTTTTTAGACTGTCAACTTTTGATAAATTTGTAGATTTTGAAATCCCCACGAAACGACTTTTAATATGGAAGAAAAACCTGCTCCTTCAGGATCTGGAGGAAAACGGAAGGAACCCACCTACAAGACCGTGGTTTCCTGCCGTTTTCCTCTAGATTCTGAAGAAAGCAATCTCCAAAACCGTCCGCGGAAAGTAAAGGGTCATCAAGGTCAACAACGATGAAGTGTCCAGTTGCGATGAATTTCCCAGGCCTCGCGGACCGATAAAAAAGCGTGAATATTCTGTAAATTATATTCTCCAAAATTATTCATATGATGCATTCTTACTACTCATACAAAATTACAACTTCCTAGCTTTAAAAACACCAAAGTTATGGCATTTCCAATAGTTCAGTTATATGGCAGCTATAGGATATAGTCGGCCGATCCTTATGAAATTTGGTAGGTCCGATTGATTGGTCAAAAATAAAACCCATAGAAAATCCCAACTTCCTTTACAGAATATTCGGCTCCGCCCGAAGTTAGCTTTCCTTTCATGTTTGTGATAAAAATGTGTTCAATTAGTGTGAAAAAACAGGCCATGCCCTTTATGTCAAAAATTTTGTATGCTTTCCATGGCATTTGTATTTTCTCAGTTTTATTTTTGCACTCAATCTGTTTACACGTATTTTCGAAATAATTTTTTTAGACTGTCAACTTTTGATAAATTTGTAGATTTTGAAATCCCCACGAAACGACTTTTAATATGGAAGAAAAACCTGCTCCTTCAGGATCTGGAGGAAAACGGAAGGAACCCACTTACAAGACCGTGGTTTCCTGCCGTTTTCCTCTAGATTCTGAAGAAAGCAATCTCCAAAACCGTCCGCGGAAAGTAAAGGGTCATCAAGGTAAACAACGATGAAGTGTCCAGTTGCGACGAATTTCCCAGGCCTCGCGGACCGATAAGAAAGCGTGTTGGGCGGAAAACTCCAAAATTTCAGCCGGGGCAGGTGCCATCTTCCGAAGAAGTAAACAAGGTCCTTGAAATGCCGAGACGTGTAGCCAAGCGTGTCGTTATAAAATCAAAGTTCAAGAAGACCAAAAGCCCGAGTCATGGCAGGAAACAACCTTCAACCAATAGTTTTTTCCTGCCATGACTCGGGCTTTTGGGAAGTGAGAAACCATCGGAGATGCAAGTACAACCTGGTGGAAATCCTTATTTTTGCAAGAATCAAGTTGACGAGCGTGTTTTCAAGGACATCCACGAAGATGAGATAAACCAGCTGTACGATAATCGGGAGGCAGAAAACAATTCCCGTGATGTGACAGACAGTTCTCCTGAAACCGATAAAAGCGCCCCGAAGAGAATTACAAAACATATGTACATATGTATGTTCTTAGTATTTTTATACTAAATTTTTATGCTCTTTTATCTTTATTTCACCAAAGGTATTTTATTATCTGAAAGTCTTGGTATGCACTCTCTTATCCAATAATCTCCCCCGTGCAAGAGATTCCGTCCACGGCGATAACATTCTTGGGAGTAGCTGAAAAGTTACAGGTCAAATTGCGTTTATGTCGAAAAAAACCCAAACAAATATATACTTTTCTTTATAAAAATAAACACTTGCATTTTTTATTTTTTTTTATTTTTTGATTTTATTTGATATAGATGTCACATTTTAATTTAATTAAAACCGTAATTCCATAGTGTTTAAATATTACCAAATCCCGGCTTAGATAGCTTAAAAACTGAGGGGCTAGCTTGCGTAGAAACGGGCGGACGGACTGATAGACGGACGGACGGACAGACGGATTGCTAGATCGACTCTCCTGGTGATGCTGATCAAGATAATATATTCGTTATGGGGTCGGAAATGTCTCCTTCGCTGCGTTGCGAAGTTTTGACTGAAATTATAATACCCTTTGCAAGGGTATAATGACGGTGAAGTTCTCATATTATACCCTTGCAGAAGGTATTATAATTTTGGTCATTATACCCTTGCAGAGGGTATTATAATTTTGGTCAAAAGTGTGCAACGCAGTGAAGGAGACATCTCCGACCCTATAAAGTATATATATTCTTGATCAGGATCACCTCCTGAGTTGATATAGCCATGTCCGTCTGTCCGTCTGTCTGTCCGTCTGTCTGTTTCTACGCGAACTAGTCTCTCAGTTTTAAAGATATCGAATTCAAACTTTGCACACACCCTTCTTTCTTTTGCACGCAGTATATAAGTCGGAACGGCCGGGATCGGCCGACTATATCCTATAGCTGCCATATAACTGATTAATCGGAAATGCCATAACTCTGCTGTTTGTTAAGTTAGGAAGTTGGGACTTTCTATGGGTTTTATATTTGGCCAATCAATACGACGTACCAAATTTCATAAGGATCGGCCGACTATATTCTATAGCTGCCATATAACTGAACGATTGGAAATGCCATAACTTTGGTGTTTTTAAAGTTAGGAAGTTGGGATTTTTTATGAGTATTAAGAATTCATCATATGAATAATTTTGGAGAATATAATTTGCAGAATATTCTGCAAGGGTATTTCAACTTCGGCTCCGCCCGAAGTTAGCTTTCCTTTCTTGTCATATTTAAAGGTAACAATTTCCGAAGAAAGAGAAAGGGCGGTAAGCGATGTTGGTGGGTTTTCCGACTTCTGAAGAGTTGGGCGAAAGCAGATCGGTGCCAGACGGTCTGAAGCAAGGTAACGAAAGTTAAAAAGAAATTAAGTTTGTAAAATAAATTAACTTACCAGAATAACGCGCATTTCGATCAAGTTCAAGCAAAGCTACATATATTATTTGTAAAAGTCCTGTTGTACTTGTGTAATGATTTAACGATAAAGCGGTCACCGTCGGACGCTCTAAGATGTCTGCATCAAATATATAAATAACAAATTGTAAATACATTTTATATGATTCTTTCTTTCTGTGCTTGACAGTTTAGTAAACGATGCGAAATCAGGTAATGAAAATATTGTTTATCATCAAAACATTAAAAACGCTTCATTATTTTTTATCCATAACAGTACGTGCCAAGGTCCTATTTAATTAGATAATGCATTTGTATTAAGATCATAAGTCCATGTTATGATCCACGCAATCAAATAATAACTTCGAGAGATTTCAATAAAAAATTTAAATAGGTTGATATTATATCATTGTTAATTGCTACTTACATAATCTCTAAATTCGTGGGCAAAATACTTGCAGTAGTAAGAACAAAGCCTAGAAAACGTAAATTAAAATGTTATCGATTTATTATTAAGTTATTAAGTTTACGATTGAAAATAATTACGATTTGTGATAAAGAAGCCAGTAGCAGACCTGGTACTCAATCGACAGTCTAGAAAACGTAAATTAAAATATTATCGACCATTGAAAATAATTACCTTTTCTAGTGACCCCCTCATCAGCAATGCAAAAAAATTTTATTAGATTCCAGGGTTGGTGAACAGATCCATGTTTATCCCAAGGTTGGCTGCAGTTCTCATCCAACAAGGGCTCCTGATCCATATCGTAATTATTAGCCAAAATGGTATTATATAGATGCCACTAGCGTTGCAGAATCTGGAACCAACGCTAGTGACCCCAATCAGTGAGGGGAATACGACCAGTGGCGACCAGTGGGCCACCTGAGTCACCATTGCAAGTGTCGCCTCTTTCGGCACCAGCGCAGATCTGCGATTCATTGTAAACCGTTAAGCAAGATTGCGGTGTGTGGGAAAGATTGATGGTCTGAAGGATTGGGCTTAAGTTAAGGTTCTCCGTTGCACCCCAGCCATATGCCGAGAAATTCACGATTGACGACGTTTTTAGCCCGTCACCAGTGACAATGCAGATCGATCGGATATATTCTAATCAACAACATTAAATAAATTTCAAGAAAGTATTATTCCGCATTGAACGATCTTATCTTACAAATACAGAATTCTTCTAAAAATATAGACTATTAAAATGGAAATTGATTTGCATTAAATAATCAAGTATGCACTGTGCTAGGGCTTAAGAAAGTTGAAATTTAAAATAAAACAAAATTGAATGTTGAATTTATCTCTTTGTTAACCTACAGGCTAGGGCGATAGAAGGTTAAAAAATCACTGATATTTATATATTTATAATATTCATTATTATAGCACGGGTAATGTTTCTTACCGATAAAACAAATTAATTAAAAAATAGTAATGCAAAAAATCGTCAGAATATCTCCTTATTCTAAGTGTTTTTAAGAAAGGTTATATATTTTCCTATGGTTATTATTATCTTACCATTGTAAACCACTTCAACGCTCAATTTTAAAATAGCGATATCATTTTCATTGGTAATGTCGTTATAACGGGGATGAGGTATGGCCTTTTTCACTTCATAAATTTTTATTTCTGGGCACATTTCTTCTGGGCAGGTCATGTCGTACATCCCTAAGCTGACCAGTCTAAGCGCAAAAGATTAGACAAACAGTTTTTTCTGTGTCTTCAGGGTACTTACAATTGTTTATTATTTTCAATGCAATGGGCGGCTGTCAATACGAAACCTGGAAAGAATGCGATTAAATGATTGTCAGTTTACAATAAAACAAGTTTACGTACGTGGATGAACGAGCGTGCCTCCGCCAAAAAAATTAGTTCTATTGCTAATGGCAGCAATCCAAGGAGTAGTACCCGGGCGGGCATTAGTTCCTGAAGTTACTCTTTTTTCAAGCTTAAGGTCACAGTTACTATCCAGGAGTTGACGCATTTCATCCTGGCAGAATACCAAGACAAACAGTCCTAAGAAAATCACAAAAGACGTCATTCCTAGAGAACAGAACTGTAATTACTAAATGCTATCGCCACATTTTTTCGAAACGGGAGCTTATAGCTCTCAAATTTAATGCTAGTAAATTATTTGGCACTACTGATAATTAATTTTAATGCTGGTTTATTATTCTTTATAATTCTTTATATTTTTTTATAATTAACAAGAAAGGAAGCAAACTTCGGCAAACCTAAACGACTACATTTCGATTTCTATGCCTATATTACCAAAAACAATGAAGCTATGTCGATTTTGGGCTACATTTTGCCATTGTTTCTATGGCAGCTATATGATATTGTTGTCCAATTTCAATTTAATAAAAATCGTAATTCCATAATTTTTAAATATTACCAAATCCCAAAGAACAAAAAAGAAAAACAGAATAGCTGTCATTATTCTCCCTCGCTTTACAATAATCAAAAACCTTTTTGATTGCCCGTAGTTTTATTAAAACAACAATGCAAGGGCTGTCCGTGACGGCAAAAAATAAACATGATATGTAAGGGAAAAACGAGAAGATATGGCATTTCGTTTTCATTTCCTTTTTTTCCGACTGCTCATGAACTAGCATTTGTCTTCTGTTTTGGTTTATCTCTGACATGTGCATTATGAATGTTGCCTGAAACTAGGTTGTCCCTCTACCTCCACAATTTACGTCAACTTTTATTCCTGACTTGTTGCGACTTTAAAAAGTTAGGTATTGTTTATGCCTGATGATGTGATAAGCCATTATATTGTTATATCCGAGTATGAGGGAATGTTATACCTTTTGTATTTGTCGACCCTATAAAGTATATATACTTTTGATCAGCACTAGCCGATTAGGCTAGTCCGTCCGTTTCTATACAATTTAGGCTCAAAAATAGACCCAACGTTGTTAATTTATGGCGTATGCGGCTTATAGCGGGAGATATATGTACATGTTTTTTACAATTTCAAAAATACTCTTTCAATTTTATAAAAATTAAAGGACTATTTCCCATAGCTGTCATATAAACGATTCAAACAGTAACTGTAAAACTGACATTATTTCATTGTTTTTAAACACATACGCAATAAAATCATTAAATATTCGTTGGATAGAATTTTATATTTTTGTTTAGCTGAAGGATTTTTCTAGTTTTAAATTTCATAACACCATTTTGCCACACCTTATGATATTGCAGGTTAAGCATAAATACGAACCAAACAGTAATATAGAGTGCCAAATTTGCATACGCTTTTCTTTTGAAAGGGCTTAAGAAGTTTTTGCATCAAATATTGTGGCTTTGCTTTTAAAGTTTTAAAGCGAGCCAGCATTGATGTTGGCTGTTGGAAATGAATCAAGCTCTTAAATTTATAGAAATTGTTTACCGAAATCGTTATTTAAAATAAGATCCGATTGCGGTCTCGAGAAAACATGGTTGCCTTGCCCAAAAATATTATTTAATTAATCATCAGAAAATAAATTTGTTCCCAAAAGAAAGTTTGCGTTCTGTTTACCCTTTTTACATTTTGCCCATTCTTCTGCTGACTCTGCACATTGCTGAAGCTTTTGGCACCAAGACGGGGTCGCCAAATTGAAGGAGACAAATCAAATTTATGAATTCCCGCAGCCGCAAGCCCCAGTCGAGTGGCAATTTATTAGCTTTCAGTAGATGTTATTTTCGTTGGCTCAGCCATTTCCATTGCCCCTTCCACGTTTTCCTCGAGCGGCATTCATTTTATGCACGCATTTTTCATTGCACATGTTTAGCAAAGCAATCGAATGCAAACAAACTCCGTTGGGGAACAGAAGTTCAAGGGGCACAAGCCCAGAATCGGAAGCGGAATCACAAAATGCAGGAGACATTGCACAGCGCTGGAACGTGATTCTCATTTCGATTTCGATTTGCATTCCGCCTGTCAACCCCCTCCCCGCTCCCCGCTCCCCACCGAATGTTTGTTTGTTGTAATTGCAATTGATTTGGCTTACTCCTGCCGGCGACGCGAACCTGAGAGACTTGCTATCTTGGCTAGATTAATATTTACCAAGCCCGCCCAACAGCACTCGACTCTCCTCTTCTTGGAATAAAGTCACATCGGTGGCAGTCACAAGGGTCCCCGAAGGGGTCCGAATCGAAAAGTGCACTAGGATAGGTCGGAAATGGATTACTGAGGGAAAGCATCGATGTAGCAACTTTTATTCGTAACTGATCGGCACTGATACATTGTACACCTACAACAAACAAAATGGGTTCATTTGAAAATCGATTGGATTCAATTATTATAAAAATAATATTACTGGCAAATTAAGCAAAATCTTTTTTAATCCACACCAAGTAACTCCGTTCAGGACTTGCTTCAGCTGGTACTAACTATTAATATTATTCGACTGCAGTCTGATCATATTGAAGCCATGCTGACTTTGTTTTACAAATATTTATTTTATTCTGGCCATAATGTCTATCAAATTACGGCAGAAAACAACACGAATTGGACTACTTGGCTTTTTCCCCCAGTGTGCTGGCAAGCAGAATAGTTGCCAACAATTCAAACGGGATTTGTATTTGTTTGCCTTTTGGCTGAGTATCGCAAGCTCTTGGGTTGGCTTCATGGATACCTACAGCTGGCTAGGAGCAGATGGAGCAGATGGAGCCGTCCAGATCCAGATCTGCACCGCAAAAGAGAGTGTTGGACCATCAAATTGTTTGCTAGTTGGATGGAGGGCGCTAATTTGATGTGCTTCGTAGCCAGCATTAAAGTATCGGTATCTTTCGGAAACAGGACGATTGTTTGTGGTCCTGCCTGTGTGGATGTGCGCGTGAGTGGGCAAATATTTGGTCACATGCGGCGTATGAGAAATGCGATGATGGAGTGCGATGTGGGTTTTCCCAGCCGCTCATTTCAGTTCCGCAAAGAGTTATTGCAAATAAGTGTAGCATACTTTGCGGCACTTGCGGTTTCTGTGTGCGTCTGTGTGTGTGTGTGTCTGTGTGTCTGTGTAAGAAGGCGAAGTGCCTGAGTGTGAGTGATTGCTTCGGTGGCCTGAGACAAATGGGCTTTGATTCACGAGCGATTATTAAACAGCTAACCGCAAAGTCAGCCGCCAAAAGTGGCAAAGTAATTAAAATTTTCATTGCTGCTGAGCTGAGAAATTAGAAAGCACAGGGTGGGGAAGTTGCAGGAAACGAGAGAAGTGGGAAGCACCAGTGCACTATGGGGAATTTGCCCGATTTTTTGGAATAAATTAATAACTCGCGAACTATGTAACATATTTCAGTGAGGTTTTTTTATAGTGTTCTACATACCTATACACACCTGTTGGAAAAGTGAAAGTATACCCCCCCCCAAACCCAATTTTTTATATTTTTTATAACAAATTTAGCTCTATATGCTCTTAATTTTTAATTTAAAAAAATCATAGTCGTTTTCTTTTTCATAATTATCAACATCTAGAGACTCGTCTCCAGGTTCATATTCGCATAATTACAATTAAATGACTTTTGGTGAAAGAGCAAGCAGCTCATGTTTTCGGACGCGCTTCTTCAAATTCATTGATGAAATGATGGGGTCTGAAGTAACCACGGCTCTCTGAAAAACATCTGTAAAGTTGGAGATTCCACTGTGGGATCAACTTGCTTGCTAACAAAAGTGAATTCGCCATTTTTTTTTCTCGAAGACCCTTTTGCTTATGCAAAACTTCCAGCAGGGCTGCGTTTTTGATCAAGAAATTGGTTTCTTAAAAATGAAATTACGCGAAAAGTCGCACGAAGCGCACGATGAGACAATATGTTCTGAATTCGCAATTAATCACTCTACAACATGGATAAAGACACTTACTGAACAAAGTTAAACATTTTTGTAAAACTCTATTGAAAGTTTAACTTTCTTTCCAAAACCCAAACGAAAACATCACCTGCTACATTTACAAATTGTTAAAATTGGACGCACATATTAAGCAATGTATAAGTATTTTTACACAGAACATACATTGAGAATTGGTAATAATTTCAAATTTGACTGTCTTACGTCATTTTGTTGCAGAGATAATGATTTGAAAGTGAGCTTCAAAGTTAAACAAAATGTAAACAAACCATGTGCGCTTGCAACAGCTGACTTTAACAGTTGGTATTTAAATACTAGACTTTTAAGTTAACATTTGCGGTATGTTACCAAACAGCTTGATGTTTTCTTAATACATTACAAAAAAAAAAAAGGAAATCGGCACACTTTTAAAAAATACATTTATTCCAAAAAATCGGGCAAATTCCCCATAGTGCAGTGCTGCCAGCACTGTTCAGCCAAAAAAGGGGAAAAAGAATGAAAAATAATTTATAATAGAAATTTTATTTTTATATGCCTAAAACAAATATAGACAACCTAATCTAAAACCCAAAAAAGTCTATATGATTAGTAATCCCAACCCTATATGTAAATCTCTTTAAATAACCGTAGTAAAAGGCTACGCATCTAGTAATATGGCCTTCTATATTAGCTTTAGTTTTGTAAACTATTTTTTTTATTTGTACCATTATTATGGTTTGACGACAAAATCAGGAGGAGGAACATTTTGATCTATTTCCAAAGATACATTGTTTTATCCAATTTTCGTTTTATCTGCAAAGGGTATTCAAAAAAGGTTAACCCCTTCACGTTTTTGAGGTACATATGTATGGGAATATAATCGGATTTAACGATTTCATTCGAATATTGAAATTGAGTATTTAAAAGAAAGATTCAGGAATGAACTTTAACGTCAATTTGGATAACATTTTATTATCCTTCGATTTTACATTCCAATTCGCGGCTTTTCGATTTCCGTCGCCGATTTATTATTAATTTTGGCGAAGTAGATGCACAAACAATGGTAAAGTATGGAAAAGAGCCGGTATTGCCTTTTATTTGTTGCTTGTATAGCCATCAAGCTGAATCAATATCATTGCCAGCCGGAATGCCGTGGAAAGCCAAAGGCAAATCGAAAGTGCAAAGTGTGCAAAATTCGGATGCCAGTGAGCGAGATGGAGCGACAAAGGGAG